AGGAATTGCTGACAGGGCCCCCAGGCCTGTGGAAGCTCCAGCCCCTGGCCACACTAGCCCCCCAGGGCACTTCACCAGGTGATCACCAGTGGGGGCATCTTGGGGACGTGTGCTAGGCCTCAGGACCACCAGGGCTCCCTTGCCCCCTCCAGCAGGAGACCTGAGAAGATGTCCTTGTCTCCCTGGGACCACAGCAGAGTTGCATTCCGGCAGAGGAAGTAAAGGCCAGCTCCCAGGGAGGTGGCCAGGAGGCTGGGGAGCCCGTGCTCAGGGAGGCCACCTCCCCTGAATGGGCCCCTGGTCAGTGGATTGAGGCTTCTGTCACTTGTGACCAGGAGATTTCTAACGGATTCATTTTAATAAAAATAGTATTTAAGATAGATAAAACATGAGGGCATTTGTCGTATTTGTTGATAAATTACTAAACATTTTTTTAAAAGATTTTATTTATTTATTTGACAGAGATTACAAGTAGGTAGAGAGGCAGGCAGAGAGAGAGAGAGGAGGAAGCAGGCTCCCCGCCGAGCAGAGAGCCATTGTGGGGCTCTATCCCAGGACCCTGGGATCATGACCTGAGCTGAAGGCAAAGGCTTTAACCCACTGAGCCACCCAGGCGCCCCACTAAACATAATTTTTAAAATCAGCAATTATATGAGATGAAACAAAGTTTCCTCATTCAGTTTGTATCTTTTCTATCCAGGGTCTTGTGACCCGATTCTACCATCGACAAACTAAATTCCACTCTGCAGTGTGGGTTGATTACTTAGCAGACACAGGATGTTACCTGTGAAGTGACCCAACCCATGTGGCGTTCCTCAGGAGTCTCTGGAGGGAAAAAACTAGAAATCAATAAAAACCTTTGAGTCCACAGATGGAAGACATTTTCAGTGATGTTTCCACTAGTCTGAAGCAAAAAATAATAATAAGTAAAAAGAAGTTAAATTCTCGTGGTGCCTGGGTGGCTTCAGTGGGTTAAGCCTCTGCCTTCAGCTCAGGTCATGGTCTCAGGGTCCTGGAATCAAGGCCCTCGTCGGGCTCTCTGCTCAGCAGGGAGCCTGCTTCCCCCTTTCTCTATCTGCCTGCCTCTCTCCCTACTTGTGATCTCTGTCAAGTAAATAAATAAAATCTTCAGGAAAAAAGTTAAATTCTCATTTTTTCTATATTCTTAACCGAAGGAAGCATTTTTTGTAAACTGGGGAAAACAGTGAAGTGAGCATGTGCCACTGTTCCAAGCTACGGATGGGAAGAGAACCAGGGCCAAACCTCTTGCCACCTCAGCACATTTGTCACCGTGCACCCGTAAAACCTTATGGTCCCCAAGAAAGCAAACAGAGTTCGGGGCACCTGGGCGGCTCAGTGGGTTAAAGCCTCTGCCTTTGGCTCAGGTCATGATCCCAGGGTCCTGGGATCAAGCTCCTCATCGGGCTCTCTGCTCAGCAGGGAGCCTGCTTCCTCCTCTCTCTCTGCCTGCCTCTCTGCTTATTTGTGATCTCTATCTGTCAAATAAATGAATAAAATCTTAAAAAAAAAAAAAAAAGAAAAAGCGAACAGAGTTCAAGTTAAAATTCACAAAGAAATGTAAGAATTAAAAATCCGTGCAGTTTTGACCTTACAATACCCTGTCACTCTTGACCTTTGCCATCTTAAATCCAGTTTCTTTCTCAGTCATGTAAGAACAAGGTTTTCACTGGGAAATTATACCCCACATTTTACTGGTCCTGCATATGCCCCAGTGTACAGTTGCCTGAGTGCCCCCCAGTCCCCCTATTCCAAGCCTCTGAGCCTTGAGTCTGTGTCCCCATCAGACAAACAGACACCAAGGTAAGCTCATTCACACAACAGTGCCAACCAGTTTCTCAGTTGGCTGGTTGAACTTTTAAAATGTATTTGTTCAACTGACTTGTCTCTTCACTTAAATTTTCTTTTTTTCATACAAATTTTAGAATTTAGTTATGGCAACGACTTCATCTCTACTGAGGGAAATTACATATTTTTTGTCACTTAGTAAGGAGAACAGCCTGGCTTCTAATGCTTCTAGTGTGAATTCTTACCAGAACACAAATTTTAAGCTCAGTCCCACTAATTTTATTGGCCTTTACTGTTGGAATATTTGCATTTTCCTTTTGCTTGGTTTGAGTTTATGTTTTCAAAATTATCTACATTATTCAGTATATGTTTTAATATAAACCATCTATGTATTTTTAAAAGCCTATGTAGAAATAAATTTTTAATTCTTCAGAGAAAATGACTAAATAAATTGATAAGCTATACACCTTTGAGATTTTGTCATAATAGTATCTAGTTTTCGGGGCGCCTGGGTGGCTCAGTCATTCAGCATTTGACTTCCGCTCAGTTCATGACCCTGGGGTCCTGGGATCAAGCCCCACATCGGGCTCCCTGCTCAGCAAGGAGCCTGCTTCTCCCTCTGCCCCTCCCCTTGTGTTCCCTCTCTCACTGTGTCTCTCTGTCAAATAAATAAATAAAATCTTAGAAAAAAAAAAAGTACCTACTTATCTACACCAACTATCCGCGTAGGTTAGCTGTCAGTACAGACATTGCTGCAGACCACCCTTGTTGTTGTGACTATTGATTGAAATACCGATGAAGCATCTTTCCCAGTTGCTTCCCCAGGAACTCTGTCACAGCTGTCGTGGCTTCTGAGAGCGTGTGTGATTCTGTAACACTCTACCCCTAACATTCTTCCACACCAGCGTTTTCCGGACTGTGCACGGGAAAGCACCAGAGTCAGGAAGCAACCGAATGTCCACCAACAGGAAAATGGGAAAACCAAGGGTGGTAGTTCACAGGATGAAACACTACTCAGCAGTAAACTCGATCAGCTGCGGATGCACAGCGGATAGATCTCAGAACACGGTGCGGTCGGGAGAAGAGCCAGGCGCTGCGCGTGTGCTGCAGGAGTCCCTTTGCCGGGTTCCCCCCCGGGGAAGCTGCTCCGTAGTCATGGAGACCGGAGCCGGGTTGCTCTGGTGCCAGCGAGGGCGCGCGGAGACAGATGGGCTGCAGGCCACCGAAAACGTCTTGGGGATGCAGTGTTCTCTGCGCACATTTGTGGAAAGGGATGCATTTTGTTTATGTAAATTACACGTTACACTGGTGGCTGATTTTTTTTTTAAATGAGAGTCCTCGGAGATGTTCAGACCTGCTCCGCAAAAATGGGGTGAAGTGAGGAGCGAGCGCGGGGACAAGCTGTTAAGAACAGGTAAACTGAGTCATTGGTGCAGGAGCAACCGCGTCCGCAACCGCAGTGTGTGTGCGGAGAAGCTCCCGCGGTCCTGAGGACGGAGCGCAGTGCGCCCTGGGCCACAGCCGCTCTGAAGGGTGCCAGGCGTCTGCACAGCGGTGTCTGCAGCACCGAGGCCACCGCACAGCCTGTCCGGAAACGTGTTTCCTCACGCCACAAAATCACAACCACCACCACCAAACGACTAAGCTGAAAAATAAAGTCTCGGTGAAAAGCTGGTGCTGTTGGGTATTTGGGATGGCCATCCTAAAAGTTCGGTCTGACCTCCAATCTAAGCACACATCTCTCAGGCTTCCATGTTTCTCTGTGTCATTCTTACACTCAGACAATCAGATGTTCCTTAAACTGTCACCACAGCATTCCTCAGCCTGAGGAAACCAGCTTCCCTCTTCATTATGGAATAAAAGCTAGGAAAATGCCATTATTCACAGTAACGGGAGTCTATATACTTTAAAAACTAGTGTTATTTAATATGAACTTTTTGGGGGGGAAATCAGTTATATTTTCCTGAAGTATCTTCCCAGCCTTCTGTAAATGACAATGCAGATCACTGCTGAGCACTGTGTAGGTGCTGATCTGCATCACACAGCAGCTGAGGACAGAGGGGGGCCCAGATGCTGGGGTGACAGACAAGCACCTGCTCTTCCAGGCAGGCGAGTGGTGGCCAGAGCCCGGGCATGCCTACTCTTGCATCTGCTAGAAACTGAGGCGGGATAACAATGTAGCTTCTAGAAATCCATACGCCTCCAAGAGAGTATAATTTTTCATAATATTCCTAGCTTTAAAAATGAAACAAAGCCAAGAAGTCACTGTTCTAACATTGGAAAAACCAAATCCAAATTCACATGTTTTGGAGTCTGTCGATGGGAAGGTGATACAGAAGCTTTCCAGTCTTTGGAGAGGTTAAAGATTGGTTTCAATGATTTCAGTAAGAAAAGCCACCAAGGTGTTCAAATTAAACCATCAGAAACAAGCCATAGGGGCACCTGGGTGGCTCAGTGGGTAAAGGCCCCTGCCTTCGGCTCAGGTCATGATCCCAGGGTCCTGGGATCGAGCCCTGCATCGGGCTCTCTGCTGAGCAGGGAGCCTGCTCCCTCCTCTCTCTCTCTCTCTGCCTACTTGTGATCTCTGTCAAATAAATAAAATCTTAAAAAAGCCAAATTAATTAAGAAAATACTGTAATGAGAAACTTACTTCCAGAGGATCTATTTTGAAGAGCCACAGAATCAGAAGAAAGCAGGCCATTATCTTTGGAACCAGTATTGAAATTGTCCACACTCATTACATCTGTTGAACTTTCTTTGATTCTATTAACTGACATTCAAGTTTTCCGATAAAAAGTGTAATTTATATTCTTTCGCTGCTGTAGTATGAGGCCCACAGTCCTTGAAAGCCTGTATCTGAGAGCTATCTGGATCATATTTTACGTTGATTTGCTCTTGGCTTTGGAAACAGTTTGAGTTCTGTCGCAGCCCAGTTTAAAAGTATCTATTGAAACACTCTGGTACAATCTTACGTGCCTGGCTTTTGAAACCTGCTCCAGCAACAGAAATGCCATTTGCATAATGCGCATGTCAGCCTATTGTGCACAGCAGTGTAATCACAGGCTTGAGCAGGAAATCAATAGTTGTAGCACCTGAAATATTGTAAAGAGATGAAGAAAATAGGAATTTTTAATTATTTTTAATGTCTTGGCTATTTAAACTCACTGGACTTTTAAAGTGGATTTCCCTAACAGGACTCAGGGATCCTGCTGCTACCAGTTTGCTTGGTGACGTGAAGGTGAGTTTTCAGCCTCCTTGTGGCCCTTCCAGGCGATGCCCCAGCTGATGGGATAAGTCCCCAGAGCCAGGCCCATACATTAGCCTGTGGCAGGTGCCTTTATAAAGGGAGGTTCCCTGAGGCATGTAACACAAGTCTTCACAGCAAGACCGCGTGGAAAGGGTTAGTCCTTTCCAAAGATTTTTGCTCTGTAGTTCTGGAGTAAAAGAGCTGAAGGCACTTATGTGGCAATTAAGTATGAATGTGCTCATTTCCTGCCAGGCCAGCTATGACTCTCACCCGGGGAAACCTTCCACGGATTCAGCACCGCGCAGACGATGCAATCAGAGCTTCTGTGGGGGTGACGTGCAGCAGCGGCTCCAGACAGAAAGTAAGATCACGTTGTGTGCTTGATGAGTAAGCACGTTTCTGTGAGGGATAAAGGACATAGACAGCCATGACCCGCTCCAGCTTTTCATGCCATCATTGTAATAGGTTATCCTTAGAATAATTAGGAGGTTTCCAGTTCATAGAAATGCTGAGAAAGTGTAAATTTTGCTGGGTGCAAGGAGGTGAGCCTCAGTTTCCTCTATTAGTCTGGTTTCTACCTTCTGACCTGCACCATGGCAGCCAGCAGGCCCCATTTCGGGAAGTGTGGCTGCTGGGCAGGCCCTCTCCGCTCCCTGGATCCTGTTTGCAAGCGGGGCCCCCGTTTCTGAGGCTTCCCATTTGTGGAGGTCCTCATCAGCACGGCACATGGAAAAGATGACGAGAATGCTTCCCTCTTTGTGCACATATCATCAGCACGCCATCCACATGCTTGCTGGCTTTCTTCTGTCCCAATGGGACCACACGACAGGAGCCTTCAGTGCCTGTGGGAGCACAAGAAACCGATGGTAGATGCAGGGGACCCAGCAAGCAAGCGTGTGGTGCCCTGGCTGGAGCTGCCCGTCCTGGCTGCAGAGTCTCCGAGGGCCACTGCAGGACCTTCTGCACTTCACATTTTCATGGCACGGGTGTTGGATGAATCACTCCGCTGCATGAATCACGTGTTTGTCTGAAATCACATACAGCAAGCTGTCCGGTGAGGAGTCTGGCTGGCAGTATGGCTCGAGTCCTCTCTTCCTCTCTGTGTCACGGGGAACCCAGTGCGTCAGGGTTGGATGCCTGCCCGAGTCCTGCTGACGTGCAGGGGGTGTGCGTTGCCTCCCAGGCGGGGCCTCCTCCCTTCTGTGTCACATCAGCCACAGCGCCAACGGTGCTGCAAGGAGCATGAACACTGAAGCCTGGGGCCCAAACACAGCCTCATACCTTTTTTGGGGGGGGGCACATTGTGGCTTCAAAGAAGATGTAAATAGTTTTAACATGTAAAATTTGAGAATGTTGACATTAAAAATGTCTAGATTCTGGCTTCTCCAGAAAAATCAGTAGCTCCAAGCCTCCAGCATGGCAGGAGCTGCCTGGACTGAGAAACGATGGCTTTACAGGATGGTCATGAGTTCTGTGTGTATGCCCAGGCCCTTCCAGGTCCATCCACTCACCACTTGGCTCCTGGAGGCAGGCAGACGGCCACCTGCTTTGGAGAAATGAAGGCGACTTTATCCTCAGAACAATGCCAGAGCCTCAGGGTGAACCTGGAGCACCCCCTGCCCGAGGGTTCTGCTCCCACTCCTCCATGATTCCTCTAGCTTCATAGGTAGAGCCTTTGACTCACTATTATTTTTTTGTTTTACAGGGTCGCTGTAGGAATTTCCCCTAGAGGCAAGCCCAGCCCAGGTGCCAACATCGACTGCTGAGGAAGCATGGCAACAAGAGAGGTGATGGGGGTCCTGGGACATGGGACACAACAAGTTTGGATCCATGCTGTCTGGGGTAACGGGTGCCAGGTTCTAAAAAGTTCTCCAGTAAGTTTTCAATGGGGCACGCACATTTAGAGGAAATACATTGTTTACTGGCACCATTTCAGTGAAGCATTAGGAAAAAATAAGAAAGGCAGAGCTTCTCATAAAATATTCTTTCATTGAGTAAGTGACTTGAGTATTTCAAGAATTCAGGATTAAAGTTATTCCTTACGTGCAAAGGAGTTTAAATGATGACCATTAAAAAAGACATTAGAGGCATTGATTAAATTATGTTGTTTTATAGGATTTATTCAGCACATTAACGTGTTTAACGACCAATGTATTTTTGCTATTGACATAAAGAGAGAAGACAAATGTTAATAGCAATTCACTTTTTGAACCGAATCTGTTTCATTCTTAATTAAGATTTTTTCCCTTCATGACACCAAAAGCAAAAAATTTTTAAAAGTGGGACTATAGTGGGGTGCCTGGGTGGCTCAGTTGGTTAAGTGGTCCAACTCTTAATTTTAGCTCAGGGTCGTGAGATCAAGCCCCTCGCCAGGCTCTATGCTTGGGTGTGCCATCTGCTTCAGATTCTCTTTTTCCCTCTCCCTCTGCCCCTCCTCCTCCTTCTCTAAAAATAATGAAAAATAATGAATGAGTGAATGAATGAATAAAAAGTGGGACTATAGCAAACTATGGAGCTCCTGCACAGCAAGGGAAACCATCGGTAAAATGACACGTTAACCTGTGGAATGGGAGAAAATATTTGCAAGTCATCTAAGGAGTTTATATACAAAATATATGAAGAATTCATACAACCCAGTAGAAAAAAATCCAATTAAAAAATGAGCAGAGGACCTGAATAAACATTTTTCCCAGTAAGACTTACAGAGGGTCAGCAGGTACATGAAAAGATGCTCAACAGCACTCATCATCAGGGAAATGCAAATCAAACCCCAGTGAGATGCCACCTCACACCTGTCAGCGTGGCCATTAACAAAAAGACAAGAAGGAAGCGTTGGCAAGGATGTGGAGAAACCCTCATGCGTGGCTGGAGGGAATGCAAGCTGGCTCAGACGCTGTGGAGAACAGTATGGAGGTTCCTCAAAAAAACTAAAAGTATAACCACCCTATGACCCAGCAATTCTGTTCCTGGGAATACACCCGAAGGAAATGAAACAGTGTCTCAGAGGTCTGCGCCCCCATGTTCACTGCAGGATTATTCACGATAGTCTGGACAGAGAAGTACGTTATCCATCGGTGGGTGAACGGACAAAGAAGGCGTGGTACGCGCGTATAATGGACTGTTACTGAGCCGTGAGAAAGAAGGAAATCCTGCTGCTTGCAACAGCATGGACGGACTCGGATGGCATTATGAAATACGTCAGACAGAAAGATAAATTCTGCCTGGTGTCACTTATGCATGGAATCTTTAAAAAAAAGTTCAAACTTGCAGAAACAGAGTAGAATGGGGTTGTCTGGGGCTGGGGGCAGAGGAGGAAATAGGGAGAGTTTGTTAAAAGGGTAGATACTTCAGCTATAGGATGAATAAGGTTTGAGGGGCGCCAGGGTGGCTCAGCGGGTTAAAGCCTCTGCCTTCAGTTCAGGTCATGATCTCAGGGTCCCAGGATGGAGCCCCACATCGGGCTCTCTGCTCAGCAGGGAGCCTGCTTCCCTCTCTCTCTCTGCCTGCCTCTCCGCCTATTTGTGACCTCTGTCAAATAAATAAAATCTTTTAAAAAAAAAAGATGAATAAGATTTGAGAATCTAAGGTAAAATGTAGTGACTTTAGTTGCTAATACTGTATTGTGCCCTTGAAATTTACTATAGTAGGACTTAAATGTGCTCAAAAAAAAAAAAAAAGATGTGAGGTGCTACATATGTTTAACTAGATGGAGCAAATCCTCTTACCACACGTAGATCAGATCGCCCTGATGTGCGCGTTAAATAGCTTACACTTTTGTCAGTTCCTCAAGAAAGCTGAAATTTAAAACTTTTTCCTTCAAAAAAACCCTCTAAGAACCAGAAAACCCCCAAAAGCATTTAGGAAGTCATTAAGTAGTCGCTGAGACCCAATTTCAGTGAGGTTACAGCAGCGCATTCTATGGGAGTTCCAAGTAGCCAACACCACGGCACCCGCGGCCTCCCTGGCAGACGCTGGTTGGGGATGTCACTCGTTCTGTCGGAAGCATTTTGCCCAGGGAAACACGTGCACTCAGGTCTCCCAGAGCACGGCAGAGAGAGACGGCAACACACTGCTGAAGTCGTGGCTGCTTAGTCTGGACTCAGCCGGACCACGAGTAAGACTGCCGTTTTGAGAATGTGCGAGAGGACCTGTTCGGGTGACTCAGTGTAAGCATCGGGTGCAATTCAGAAAAGGCCCTCGGGCAGGGGGTTGGGGGTCATGGAAATCTGGTGGTGACGACAGACACTTCCCAAGTCCTCACCAGCAAGACACTGGTCCCACACGGACCTCCTGGTCTTGGCGGACTACCTGCTTTCCCTTTCCTCTTGTTAGGATCCATATTCAAGAAGAGGAGAAAAGAAGCAGTTTAATAATGGTTCTGATGGTGGGGCGCCTGCATGGCTTCGGTCACAGTCTCAGGCTCATGAGATTGAGCCCCATGTGGGGCCTGGACTTGGGTAGAGTCTGCTTACGATTCTCTCCCTCTGCCATCCCCCCCGGCCAAAGTGATAATAAATTAAAATAAAATAACTGCTTTCTTGGATGCTGGTGTACTCCTGGATCTCCCCCCACCTGGCTCTCCCCCCAGCTGCTGGGAGTACCTATTGCCAACAGCTCCTAGATGGGTCCCTCCTTGGGAACTGCCCTCAGGAAAGGACATCGCTTCATCCAAGATCACCTGCCCTCCCTGCAGGGTGCAAGTCCTGGACCCCTGACCTCATAGCAGATCCTCAGAAAAGCCGAGCCTGCTCAGAACTGAGCCCACTGAGGCTGCTGCTGCACCCACATCACAGCCACCTCTACCCTGCCAGGCTGCTGCCCTCATGCCCTCACAAAGTGGCTGGCTCCCAAGAGGGAACCTCAAAGATCCTGCCTGTAAGTCTCTCTTCCGACTCTGTTCTCTGAGGAATCCCAATGATAGTGTGGCTTCTGCCACTTCATTCTTTATAGGAGTGTTGCAAATATATCAAAATGTCCCAATTGTCATAAAATTGTCATGTGCTGGCCTCGAGATTTTCTCTTCAAGGGTGGTATTAACTGACATTGACAAAGGAATGCTACTTCTGTTCGATGGGGACGAAATTCACCTGACATCAAAATAGCTGTCAAGCAGTCAAGTTCATGGAGACAAAAGTTACAAAATTAATTATTTTGAAGCATAATTTTCTGGTTTGGGCAGATATTTAATTACTTGAAATTTATGGCCATTAAATTCAAGTGGACTGCTTTAACAATCCGTTAACAAAGTGTAACAATGCTTCCCTTTCCAGGTGCTCTTGGGACAATC